TTTTTCATGTGCTTGTTGGCCATTTGTATGCCTTCTTTTGAGAAATGTCTATTCAGGTCCTTTGCCCATTTTGTAATTGGGTTAATTGGTTTTTTGCTTTTAAGTTCCTTATATATTCTGGCTACTAGCCCCTTGTCTGATGTGTATTTTGCAAATACTTTCTCCCATTCTGTAGGTTGTCTCTTTACTTTGCTGAGCAGAAGCTTTTTAGTTTGATGTAGTCCCATGTGTCTATTTTTGCTTTAGTTGCCTGTGCCCTTGTAGTCTTGCCCAAAAAAGTGCTGCCCTCTCCCATTTCATGTAGGGTTTCCCCTATGATTTCTTCTAGTAGTTTCATAGTTTGGGGTCTTAAATTTAGGTCTTATTCCATTTTGATTTGGTTTTTGTGTATGGCAAGAGATAGGGGTCTAGTTTCAATCCTCAGCATGTGGATATCCAGTTTTCCCAATACCACTTATTGAAGAGGCTGATCTTTCTCCACTTTATATTCTTGGCACCTGTGTCAAAAATCAATTGGCTGTAAGTGCATGAGTTTATTTCTGGGCTCTCAATTTTGTTCCATTTGTCTGTTTTTATGCCAGTGCTGTTTTGTTTTGGTTCCTATAGCTTTATATTTTGAGGTCAGGAAGTGTTATTATGGCAGACTTTCAATATATCAGAACCAGAGGAAGAGATAGAAAGGAAATAACACCCATGACAGGGGAAACCAAACTTGGTGATAGAGGACCCAGTAGAGGAAGCAGCTTCAACTTGTGTCTCCAGCTGCATAGGCCTCACCTTCCTGGATGAGACTGGCACTGGGATGTACTGGAAGCACTAGAGCAGGGTTTGACAAACCCAAAGGTACATATATCAGGGACAATCTGGCAGTGGTGTGTAATGTGAGTTAAAACTCAGAGACTGGTTAGGAGGTATCCACAAAAACCTAGGAAGTGAGTGGAAAAGGAAAGGATCTGCATACATCTGAAGGAAGAATGGTCAAAACTGAAGGTCAGAATGTGTGCTCTGCAAAGTATGAATATAGTATGAATGTGCATCAGGAAGAATATTTGAAATCAGATTCTCAGAATTTCCAGAAGTATGTGGCTATACTTATAGTTGAGGATATAGGAGCAAAGTGGGTAGAGGGAAGAAAAAGTGGAATGGGGATTGAGAAATTGGTGCTACTGATGGAAAATGAAAACAGCAGCTCATGTTGGAGTATGTGTGGTAGATGGGGAATAAGCCCTTTGCCAGGATAAAGACTGTAACATAGGGCTATGCTGCTAACCTCCACCAAGCAAAGCCTTGGGACAGAGTTCCTCAAGTACCTATATCCACACCCACACGCACCCACAATGGAAGGCCATACAATCTACAGGCTTATGGGAAATTCCCAGCAGGTTAGTTCCCCATTGACCATTCTAGAGACTAGATGAACATGCCTGTGCACAGAAAATGTCAGCTGACACCATCTTCTGTAGGGCAGTCAACTGAACACTGAGCACAGATTCTCAGCTTTCCCATTTAAATATGTGACCCTAGAATGTTGATTCATCTTGCTCTGCCTGAATTTCCTCATCCATAAAATGAAGCCTTCGTCCTGTGGAGCCCAGCACAGAGTGTGGTCTGGGTGTGGCCAGGGCTGGGTAGGTCGGCTCTGCTCAAATACCTTCAGTGATGGGAGAGACACTTTCTCAGGGTTTTTTTTTTTTCCCCTTTTTGTCTTTTTTACTGACCGGTGACAGAATCGCAACCCTTGGTGTCGCGCCCTCACCGCGCTCAGCCAGTGAGCGGGAACTGGTCTCCACATGGGATCCAAACCCTCGGCGGGAGCGCCACCACGCTCCCAAGCGGCACACTCTACAGTGCGCCACCGGGCCGGCCCATTTCTCAGGGTTTTTAAAGCTGAAAGCGATTGTCCAGAGATGATTTAGTCCAGCCCAACTATTTTTACACAGAATATATTTAATTCCATTATATAAACTAGGAACAATTTTACCAACATAAAATGTGACCATAGGCTACATATAACAAAAGATCAAACTAGGCACACATGTCCATGGAAAAATCATGCCAATTAAATAAATATGTTCAGCATTTCCATTAATATTCATATGCTACTCTTTCATTTTTTTGCTGATAAGCAGTACAGAAAATTAAAAACAAAACAAAATTGACAAGACAATCAACTAGCTTGTTTTTTTCTATCATTTGGAAAAAGATTACCATTATTCAATTTTATTATGTAATACACTCATCCACGTAATGAAACATCTGTGAAAAAATAGTGTGGGAACCACCATCAGTGGCCGACCCTAATCTTGTCTGTCCATAAATGAAATATTTCTATTATACACAAATACAGACATTTGAAGTTAGAAAGGAATACAACTCAAATAGCAAAAGGTCTTTAATTACAGAAAGTTTAACATAAGTCAATTACAGAAAGTTCAAAAGTATATACTAAGCCCAGAGTAGGCTACTGCCAAGGAAAAAAAATTTTGTAATCTTTGTATGTTACATGGCATTCCTAACTCTACAAACTATCAGCATTTGTAGAGGCTAGCTCCTAAAAGTCCCAAAGAAGTGGAAACATTCAGGTATGAAGGACTCATGATAAAGAGCAGGTGGAAGCAAGGGGGCAGGCCTGTATCTTAGTCAAGTATGGACTGAGTAAAGAGCTGTTTGGCTGAACTGGGCTCCCCTGAAGAATCTGAGCCAAGCTGAAAGAAACTAGCTTAACCTCTGGTAATGAAATTTTAGCTGTACCGTGGCTGTTCAATTTCAGAGTTTACTGACAGGATTAGAATGATTAAAAAAAATTTAGAGCAAGCTTTTGTGTAATTAATCAGAGATGAAATTCATAAATTCTGGTAAGAATTTGCCTCTCCAACTGTCATTGCATAAGAAGAAAACAGGGCCATGTCACTTGGGAGGACTGTCTCAGCTCCTGTTTAGGGAGCTGACTCCTATGCTCTCTCGAGAACAGCTCCTGAAGGGAAGGCCTGTCCTGCACAGATGTGGCCATGGAATTCATGGGGCTCTTGTGTCACATATAAAGTACTGTAGATATGTGGCAGGTGAAGAGTTCACATTCCTGGTTTCACTAACTGTCATGTATCCATTTAAAAGGTCCATGGCATACATAGTAATTTAGTTTCCTAGGTGCGTTTGAATCTTGGGTGCTTGCAGCTAGGGAACAAGACGAACAAACAGAGCTAATGGCCAAAACTCTTGTTTTAACATAGCTACTTTTTCTCTTTTAGTTTGCATATTACCAGTAACTGCTATGCTCTTTGAAGGTTTCATGAAACTATGTGCTGTGACGCATTTTCAATTTGGGGATACAGAGGATGTCCCGATACATTTCTCCAGAATGTCACAAGTCTATTTCTTAACATCCTAATAGATTCACACATTACTTTATCAGCACTAATTTTTAATGCTGACGCTGGTACTTTCTGCAGTAGTCTTCTAAGTGACTGGCCAGGGAGTCCAAGTTTTCACAATCCGCATTTTAAGTTTAATCTGTCCATGTTCTTGTTGAGCTTCTGGTAATAAAGAAATGCTGCTGACTGAAAGACAAAAGGGCCTGTGGTGCTTTCAGGGAGTCTTGGAGATCTCTGGGTACTGGGCACTGTGCTTGAACGTCTTGCATGTGTTCTCTCATTCAAAGATCAGAGTATATGATGTAGGTACTATTATCTCCATTTTAGGGATGAAGACAGAGGCTTGAAGAGGTGAAGCCACACAGCCAGGTGACCGGCCAACAAAGATTTGAATACAGGTGGATCGGACTCCAGACTATCATTTCCAAAGAATTACAAAATCCAACTTGTTCCTGCTGTCTACTTGTAACAAGTCAAAAATTTTAACTCTTCGGGTGTCTGAAGTCTGCAAACCCTGTATATATCCCTCTAGTTGTTTTCCATTACTGCTGTAACAAATTTGCCACAAACTTAGTGGCTTTAAACAGCAGTATCTGTAAGTCAGAAGTCTGGCACGGCATGGCTGTTTCTACACTTGGCCTCACTGGGCTAAAAATCAAAGTGGCTGAGACCCCAGGTCTCATCTGTTCCTCAGGGTCCTCTTCCAAGTTCACTGGCTATTTGGCAGGATTCATTTTCTTCTCCTGCTTTCCATGTGGCCTCTCTATCCCTATGCCAGCAGTGGCATCTCAAGCATATCTTCAAATCTGATTTCTTCTTCCTCATTTTTTTTGGTGGCTGGCCGATATAGGGACCCGAACCCTTGACCTTGGTGTCATAACACCTAGCTCTAGCCAACTGAGCTAACTGGCCAGCCCTTCTGCTTTTAAGTGTTCATGTGATTACATTGGGCCTACCCAGATAATCCAGGATATCCCTATTTTAGAAACTTTAATTATACCTGCAAGTCCCTTCTACTATGTAATGTAACACATTCATAGGTGTAACACCAGGGGAAGGAAGGTCATGGGGGCTATAATTCTGCCTATCATTTCCTCTTAGAATCTCTCTTGTACATATACAGCCCCCAAGGCAAAATACCTTTTCCCTTCAAAAATGTTTCACAGTATTCTGCCCTCTGCCAGGTGTCCAACCAGTTACAGTAGCTGGACTGGACCTCACCCAAATAGGAATGAATACCATGTATTTGTACTTTAACCGGTAGATTGTGGAAAAGCCTATTTTTGCCAGGGATGGGGTGGTGTGGTCTTCAAGTTTTATGCATTTCAGGTGACTTCACTTGGGACTCCCTTAAGAAACAAAAACTGAGAAATGAACACTGACTATACCCCTCCCATCCTCATGTTCTCATCCTTTCCAGTGCTTGGAGGTCCCCAGACTCAACTGTCTTTACTCAGGATAGTAGTTTGGACCAACAGTGTAGCAACATGGTTTATCCAAAAGGCCAAACATAAATAGAACATCTTATGCATCAGAAAACTACTAGTATGCACAAGAGTGCTCTGAAATTACTTCAAGTCAAATCTCCTAAGCAGATCAAGAATCTTGCTTAAAACTGAATTTGCCTACCTGATAAGCAACTTTCCTTATTCAGCACCTTCAGCCCATTCTTTGATTCAATTTAGCACATATCCCAGTAGAACCTTGCAATCATCTAATACAATGACATCATCTGAACTAAGAACACCTTCTCTTCTCTAAAAAGAAATAAAAGGACAAATAGAGAATAAAAACAGCAAAGGCCATTCATAGATAAATTATGTGATTACAAGTAAAATGTTAACTGTAGAATTTAGGTGGCAGGTATAAGAATTATTCACTTTATAACTATTTTAACTTTTTTGCATGTTTGAAAATTTTCACAATAAAATGTTGTCAAACAAGAACTATCGCCATAAATTCAACCATAGGTACCAAAGCCAGTGTGACATTTCTCACTAAATGTCTTAAGAGTGAGATACTCTTCAGGGCATATGTCATAACTCTCCATAAAAATGCTATTCTTCGTTCCCAAGACCTTGTTCATGTTGTTTCCCTACTGAACTCTTCTCAACTGCAACCAATTCCACAAGGCCCTGTTCAAGTTCTATTTTCTATTAAGAAGAAAAAAATCCTTCCCTCTGCTAAAGTGCCATTGTAGTCCTTTGTGCTGTACTGTCTAAAATACAGGTCGGGAATTATATTTTAAAAATTTTAGATGTTATAGTAGTTAGACTGGGTCTGTTTTTTAAAATTATTATTATTATTTTTATTTTTTATTTTTTAAAGATGAATGGTAAGGGGATCTTAACCTTGACTTGGTGTTGTCAGCACCATGTTCACCCAGTGAGCTAACCGGCCATCCCTAGTATGTGGGATCCGAACCCTCGGGCGGGAGCGCCGCTGTGCTTCCCAAGCGGCGCACTATCCAGTGCGCCACCGGGCCGGCCCTGGGTCTGTTTTTTAAAATTATTATTATTATTATTTTTTATTTTTTAAAGATGAATGGTAAGGGGATCTTAACCCTTGACTTGGTGTTGTCAGCACCATGTTCACCCAGTGAGCTAACCGGCCATCCCTATATGGGATCCGAACCCGTGGCCTTGGTGTTATCAGTACCACACTCTCCCAAGTGAACCACGGGCCGGCCCTGTTTTTTTAGGGATCCAAACCCGTGGCCTTGGTGTTATCAGCACCACACTCTCCCAAGTGAACCACGGGCCGGCCCTGTTTTTTTAAAATTATAAAAAAAACTTTTTAAAAGAAAAGCTGTCTTTCAGAGATACATATTAAGATACTGTAAATGAAGTGGTAACAATGGCTGGAACATGCATTAAAATAACCCAGTGGGAAGAAAAGATTGGGTATGGTTGAAACAAGAGTGATCATTAACTGTGGGAGCTAGGTCAAGAATACAGGGCCTAGTTGTTCTACTTTTAAGTTTTTCTTTAGAAAACAAAACGAAAATACTGGCAACACAGTAGGTGGTCAAATGACTACACTATCAAAATGAAAGCTATCTGAAGCAATTATCTAGAAATTTCTGGTAAAAATGCCCTTATTCAAGTGATTCAAAGGAAGATCTGTTCATTATCTTGCCTTGTTTTCTATTGCCACTTTTGTTACTATTAACACCTCATGCAGGGAGAACTGTGGGCCTCTCAATACAGAAACTTCAAAATAAGCACCCAGAGAATTCAATCAGAATTTGAAATTTCTATTTTGTCCTGCCTTGTAAATTGATAAGTAAAAGTTCCTTAAAGAATTCCAGGGCTGGCCAGTTAGCTTACTTGGTGAGAACATGGTGCTGATAACACTAAAGTCAAAGGTTTGGATCCCTATGTTAGCAACCCCTAATGGAATCCCAGATCTGGGTAAATATTAATGGCGGCTAAAGCCATTAAAGGAAAAGATGATAGAGAACTTTATAATGGATGGAGTAGGCTGGCAGCATCCATACCCACCATCAATCTTAACATTATGAGAGGCATTACGTGTCCTCTAATATGAAAAAATAGGAAGTGTATAATACCACCTATGAATTGTTTGGGAAAAAACAAAATGGAACAAAAAGCCCTCTAGATCTCCCTGTCAGTTTATAGGAATTATAGGGAATAGAAAAATTTCAAATGATACCATTATGATGCATTCTGTAAAATCCACACCGAGGGACAATTCTATAGGACAACCATTTCTTCAAAAATTAACAAGAAAAACAAAGAAACGTATTGATTAAAAAGAAACTTAAGAGATATCAACAAAAGGCAAGATACAGATCTTGTCTGTATCCTGAGTCAAACAAATCAACTATAAAAAAAAAATTATGAGACAAAGGGAAATTTGAATACTGACTGCTATTTAAAAATAAAAATGTTTCGTTGTCTTAGACAATGGTACTATGGCTATGTTCTAAAAAGTGCCCCCTCTTTAGTGACATATTTCAGTATGCCTCTAAAGTATACATACATGAAAATATTTTGCCTGTAATGGGATTCAAACTGATCCAATGCATGAGGCAGAGAATATCGGTAAACAAGACTGACCACAGGACAGTTATTAAAGTTGGAGGATGGGTACATGGGCTTTATTACACTATGCTCTTTATTTTTGTGTATTTGTGAAAATTTCCATAATAAAATATGTTCTTAAAGAAGTTTCGATAGTGTTATACTAAAAAACCTCCTACTTTAATGAAGATTTCCCCCAGAAAAATACAATGTTCTGATGGACCATTCCCCAATATGTTAAATCTTTTAAGTTAGACACTGACAAAAAAAATAATTTTTAAGAGATTGTACAATTTACTGAATGTTACCTGTATCAATAAAAGACCACTAACAGTTGGAATTTTAAGCCAAAAGCAGAAACCTTTGATAAATTTTATGTGAATTCCAGGGAAGGGTGTGGGCTCTGGAGTCAGCCAGATCTAGGTTTTGAATCCTAGCTCTGCATTTCTTATCTACTAGCTGAATGTTTTTTGACAAATCATTTAATTTCTGTGAGCTGTTGGCTCTACACCTGTCAAGTGGGAATAATAAAATATCTTGATCAGTAAAGCACTTAGTTCAGGGCCTGGCACATGGTAAGTGCTCAGAAAAGAATTCAAATAATTCTACTGCCCCATTTCAGTCATATATGTACATCTTCCATATTCTAACATCTCTGAAACTGGGATGTGTCTCATAACTGATGGCATATCATAGGTTTAACTGGCAGTTTTTCTTTCTTAGTGATATGTAAAATAATGGTGCATACTACAAATCGATAGCATCTAAGAGTCAATATAACATGGTATCAATCATGGTAAAGCTATATTCTCAATTTCTGTTTAAGACCATTCTGAATAACCAATTTGAGATTTAAAAAATTTCAAAGTCTGAGCAAAATATTTCCAATACCTCATGAACAGAATAGTTTTGAGACAAATTAATTTTGTAAAAAATGGTTTATCAATTCCATTTTTGTATAAAACACATGGGAGGAAGGCTAGCCAATCAACACACAACTGTCACCACATGAAAAGGTACTTTTATCAAACTTCGAGTCTAAGAACGTACAAATGTTTCTTTTATCATGTCTACAGTAATTGTCTATGCTTTTCCATTTAACTGTTTTTAAAAATTTCATATATCCCCATTATTTCTTCTGTTTCAGTTACAGTACAATGACGGGGAGGAAGAGGGTTGGTTAAAACAACCCTCTAAGCAGTTTTCTGCTGTCCTTTCTTTCCAATCAGAGATTTGTGGATGTGAGGGATCACACCTACAATGAAATAAAGAAAAAGTTATTAAAAACTTTTTTAGCTGGCTACATGTTAACACTTTTGTGTTTCAAGCAAAAAGGGCAATTACACAAAGAATGAAATTTACTTAAGTCCCTTTTCACCTTCTGATCCTGTTAAAGTTATCTATATCATGGGCTATCCCCACCCGAGGGGTCTGTAAACCCTTCTAAAACTGTACATAAAGTTGTGTGATTTTTATATGCATTTTTAGAGAAGAGTAACCACAACTTTCATGAGGTTCTCTAAGGGTGATCCAGAAAAGATTAAGAACCACCAGCTTATCTCTTACCTTCAATGATCCTGACCCATTTTGACTATTTCAGCCCTTTCAAGGGTATCATGTTAAACAATTTCTTAAGATCATTCGTCAAACAGTTTAAAAGGTATGGGAAATATTTTAAACATTTTAAAATTTAGACAAAGAACTGGCTAAAACAAAAATAGCATTATCGGGCCGGCCCCGTGGCGCACTCGGGAGAGTGCGGGGCTGGGAGCGCAGCGACGCTCCCGCC